TAACTGGAAACCATGCTTTCTCTAGATTTGCTACAGATTTTGTTCTCGCTTCAAGATTTTATGCTATGGTGGGTTTGGCCCCGATGGTGGTTCTTCATGTGGTGGTGGTAAGTTCATTTAGGGTCCTGGGTTGCTTTAGGGGGTTTCGGCTATGTTGGGTTTGTGGGCTTTGTTTGGGATTATACTTAATTGTGGTGATGTGGGCTAATAGTTTTAGTACAGCTTTTGTCCCATTTAGTTTCGTTTTAGCATGTAAGTTTGTTGCCCTCTTGGAATTGGTGCTTTAGATTCATGTTGATGTCATGATTATATAGTTAAAGTTTATCGAATGAAGTTTCTCTTTGATTAAAAAAAAACATTTATTATAGAAAATGTACTCTAATATAAAATTGCATTCAAGGGCAACATTTTGTCAAAAAAAAAAAAGGAAAAAAAAAGTAGATATTGTGGATTTCGTGCGTAGATCTTGTCATGCCTATATGGCCAAATCTAGGCAAATATGGTGGCTTGCCCAAGCATAGGCAGCATAGCTAGGATTTTATATTTGGGGGCAAAAATGTCAAATACAAAGTTTAGTTATATAATATTTTTTGGGCTATTGAGTAAACTATTAAAGAACTAGTGAATAAGTCAACTGAGCCATAAGCCTATGGCCCCCACACTTATCAAAATTGTATTCCAATATGAATCTACAATTATGAAGAAAAAAAAAAACCACTCATTTCAATTTATTACTCTTGTAGATAGGGACATTCTTCGATAAATATTTTATGTTAAGAATTAGTTATATACTTATAATCTTGGGCGTTGGATTGCTTTCATTAAATGTGCAGGTAATATCTTAGATGTAATCCAATGGCTGAGATTAGAAGTATATGTAATCAATCCTTAACTTAAATACTTATTGAAGAATGTTTCTATCTACAAGAGTACTAAATTGAAATGATTGGTTTTCTTTCATAAATGTGGTATGATTTTACTACTATATTCATATTGGAATACAACTTTAATAAGTGTGGGGCCATAGGCTTACGTATATCAATTTTTCTTTTAGTTGTTACCACAACCAATATATACATTGAAAGAGGTTAACTAAATTGGGGGGCTAAGAGCATCTGCAAGATCGTCTTTAAATTTGAGCCAAATTAGTTGAAATGGCTAGATAGCTATTATAGCAAACTACTTAAAATGATATATATTTGGCTAATCTATACTATTTATTATTTCTCTCCCCTCCTCTCTAAATTAAAGGTTCATTAAAAAATCAAAAGTAAGAGGTGAGAGAGGGTTGTGGGCCTAGGGAGAGAGAAGAGGCAGAAATTGAAAACCCTCAATTTCTCTCTCCTCTCTAAATGTAGATAGCAAGTCTGTTGGAGTTGCATTTTGCCTTCATTCTAGCCAAAATGGCTAAAAATCAGAGTATAGCAACTCTACTTGAGATTCTCTAAGGCCTTAGCATAGCTTTGCGCCTATGCCCAAGGATGGGGTGGGGTAAAAGTTGTGTCCTCCATGGCTAATTGGTATATCCTAAACAATTAGTGCAGATATAGGGAACAACACAAGTTTAGCAAGACATGGGTATATCTAGTCGTACTCGGGCAGGTCTAGCTAGCTACACCTGAACAGCTCTGGACGAAAGCGGGAGTTGTGGAGATCTATACAGGTGAAGAGAAATTTATGCAAATGTGGACGAGTATGGGCATATTTAACCTAATATGACCATGACGACAAATGCTAAATAGTCTGCATAACAACATGTCAACAATCTAGCCGGACTTGACCAGATCTAGCCATATCTAAACCAAATCTAGCCAGATCTAGACACACATAGTTGAAACTGGACATACATAGTTGAATTAGTAAATTCTAACCAAATTTGAGAAAGAACTAGCCAAACATAGCCAATCCGGCCAGATTTGGGCAGAGATATAGCCAAATTGGCCAGATCTAGTCATATCTAGCTAGAGTGGATGGTCAGATCTGTGTAGAAATAGAGGAAGATGGGTAGAACAAATATTTGGAAATGCCTATCAAGCCAAACACAAAATAAAATAAAATAGAAACAAGAGGGTAAATGGTGATGTCTGCAATGCAAAATATATGCGGTCATGGTGTAGCTTCTTGAAAACCTGAAATCTAATCGAATTAGAGATACACCAGAAAACTAAAGGTGGTAAATGTGCACTATAATTTTCTGATGCATCACTAATCGACTAGAATTCATCTTCAGTTCTAGCTGCATCACTAATCAACATCAATCTTTTCAGTAGATTCAAACTTAAATCATATCGATGATTTACTAGAAAACTAAGATGAGAAACTAATAACTCTAACTAGTTTTTTGGTACATCATCGACCGACTAGAGCCCACGTCTAGCTTTACCAATTCGATGAAAAGCAATATCCTTCACGCAAACTCTGCTCTATATGCACTAGTATATATAGTGTTTGTGGCTCATTAGTGAATATTGGCCAATATATAAAATAGAAACGTTAATGGTAAGCTTCTACTTCAGCTAATGTCATTAAATGCTATGTATATTTGGAAGAGTGCTGCTATTTTTACACGTATTTTATTTTTTCACTCATCTTATCGATCCACCCACCATGTAAATTTGAAAAACAGAATCCTATCTTTCCACCCACCGTTATTCCTAAAATACCTTTTAATTATTAATTCAAGCAAATTCTCTTTGCTAATCAATAGTAGTTGATATATGGAGAGGATCAAGTTGTGTTTCACGGACTGGATAAAAGTTTTAGTCTAATATTTTAATTTTTGGATCTTTTAGGTTTTGTTTTATTCTCTACTTATAGCTTTTGAAAATATTGTGGATAAATGTTTTAAAGAGAAAGGTGTACATTAAAAGGGAAATTTTCTATTGTGTTCCATTTGGGCGTAAAAAGAGAAAGGTGAAAGGAATAGAAACAACACCTTGCATACCCAAAAAAAGAATGAAAATAATTGAACTAATGAACATGGAATAAAATCAAACAATGGACTGAAAAATAAAGCACATATATAAAACCACTTCTTTTTTTCTTTTTCTTTTTGTCAAACGGTAGAATAGGTGGGTCATGTGAGTTGTGGTTTTTTCCCTAAGTCCTTAGAAGTCATTTTACAAATGGATAAATTTGTCTTTAAAATGTTAAGATAAGGTGGTTGGAGAAAAAGGACATAGAGTGAAAATAGCAGCACTCATATGGAATCCCAATTTTAAAAGTAATTACACTCATGGACTAAAATATCGATAATGTCGCCGATATTTATTGTGTTTTTTCGGACTAGCATATTTGGGACATATTCATACACATATCGTATAATTATTGAGAATATCGATGATAATATCGGGAAAATATCGATGTCAACAATTTCTCACATGCTTCAACAAAATTTGGGGAAAATATCATGATATGTGCATGCAATGGGAAAAAAGGAAAAAAGAACCCGAGCACACACGCAAAGGAGGATTCAAATCCTTGCCATTCAACTCTTCCAACGCCTTAATCACCACGTTGCTAATGTTTAAAAATCAAGTAATTGTAAACGTTGTTATGGAAATATGTTTTACAAAAAATTGATGAAAAAATTGTCACAATAGGAAGTTTGACATAAATACATTGTTTGTCTTCGAATTCTTAGATTAATCACAAGAATAGATAATATAAAAAATCATCTAATTAACATGGCTGCTCATCGATTATTCAATAGTCAACAAACACCCATCTTAATGAAATTTCTTTATTTTTTTTAAGGAAAAAGCTTGTCTCCTAACGAGGAGGAGCTCCTTCTTCCCTGAGGGTAAAGACCCGTCCCAAGTGGGTGGCAGAAATGTTCAAGATGAATGCTTCACAAACCATAATCTAGTCTTTAGTCTAACTCAAGTGGGTGGCATAAATGTTGATTGAGACTAAGTAAAAATCAGGTCAATCTCTATGTACCATAAAAATGTAATTAGCTACCTTGTTTTCTTTTGGTAAATAAATTTTTATTCTTCAGTCCTAGAACCACATTTGACATCAAATGCTAATTTCTTCTGAGCCATTCCGTCTCTCAAAGCCCTCTCTCTAACACTTCTTATCGTATTCAGAGGAGTATGCTTAATCCACCCAATTGTTTTTTTTGCCATGATTGTTGGATTGGCATATGCGTTCAATGTTATACAAAGATAGATCGTTGGAAACCATGTTTTTCCCATATTTGTTGCAGGTTTTGAAAAAAATCTCCAAAGGAAGAAAACTGCACCATCACAGTTTTTCTTGGTGATTGTACTTGGTTTTTTCCACTATCAATGAAGGCCATTTTTCCTAATTAAAAAAAAGGTTAATTTGGAATAAGTGGATATTGGACTATAAGTTTTACCGTCCTTTTTAAACTATATGAATTTGTAAGGCTCAGATATGAATTTGAAATCTATACCACATACAAAGTATGTAATTATTCTATATTGAGAATTTGAAATTATTTATATATAGTAATTACAACAATAATGACATGAAAAATCGAAAGTTTATTAAGGAGGGTGTATTCAATTGAGATTTTAATGGATTGTTTTGAAGCTTAAAAGTACAGTGGTATTCAATTATGGTTTTTAAGTAATCAATAAAAGTTTGATGATATTCAATTAGGATTTTTAAATAATCAATGCAAGTCCGGTTGTATTCAATTAGGATTTTCAAAAGATAAGAAAAGTACCGTGGTATTCAAAAACTTACTGATTTTAATGTATTTTGTGAGACTTTTGAGTGTGTGATATAAATACCAAATCAAATAACAAATCTAACCCTCCTATGCATGATTCTCATATATGCTCTTATATCTTTTTTCCCCCTGCTATTTTTTATGCTTTCTATTGTGCAAAAAGATTATATAAAAAAAGGAATCATAAGAGAGACGATAGCAAGAAGATAGGAGGGGAGAATGTGGGTGATCGGTTGAGAAGTGTATAGTATAATATAGTTTTCACTGCTATTACCAGCCACCGTATAATATACTTTGTTTAAAGATATTTTTGCCCGGTAGCAGCTTCAAAAGGAGTTGAACTTGAACAAAAAAGATTGACCTCCACTTCAAGATTCCATTGCACGGTGGCTAGGGATTTTGTAAGGTCAGCATTTGCAGCCTCCAGTTTAGCCAAACGAACAAAGACTTCCATTCTAGTATTATTATGTTTCTGCTTCTCTAAAAAATCAGCAGCTTCCATGGTTTCCATGATGGTATATATTCAACAATTCCTCCTTTTGTACCAGAAATAGTAATCAATATTGATTTTTTGAAAGGATCTCCAACTGGACTACTAAGAAAAACATTTATCTACAAACAGAGTAAATGTAGGGAAAGCATTAAAGTAGATCTATGGAGAAAAGATTACCATGGATGTTTATGGTCCAATTTCTAGTAGTGTCTAGACATGTATAGTTGAAACTGGACATACATAGCAGTATGTGTGAATTATAACCAAATATGGGAAAGTCTAAAGGAACCTAGACATAACTAGCCAAACATATGCAAATTCGGCCACAGACTTGGGCAGACCAACCCACATTTGGCTAGATCTAGTCATATCTAGCAAATCTGTTGAAAAACTAGATGAAGATAGAACAAACATTGGGCAATGCCCACGCAACAAAGATAAAAATAAAATAAAAACACGAGGGTAAAGGGTGAAGTCTGTAATGCAAAAGATCTATGGTCATGGTGTAGCTTCTTGAAACTGAGCTCTAATCAAACTCGTGATTCACCAGAAAATTAAAGGAAGAAAATTTCCACTATAGTTTTTTGGTGCATCCACGTATCGACCATTATTCATCTTCAGTAATAAGTAATGCTGAGATCAACATCAAACTTTTCAATGGAATTAAGCTCTAATCGGATCAATGATTTACCAGAAAGCTAATTTGAGAAGCAAACTCTCCAACTAGTTTTTTGGTACATCATCGACCGACCAGAGCTCACCTCCAGCTTTACCAATCAAAGGAAGTAATATTTTTGTGCAAACTCTGGTCTATATGCATTAGTATATATAGGGGGTCTTAGTGGATACTTAAAGAATATTGGCCATTATATAAAAATAAACAAAAATAAATCTTAATAGTAATCTACTAATTAAGCTACGTCATTAATGTTATGTATATTTGGAATGACAATTTTAAATTTAATGAAATAATTTTCATTTTTAAAAGGCAAGTAATTGTAAAAGTTGTACTGTAAATATGTTTCCTAAGGAGTTGATAAAAAGGTCTAAACATTGCAAATTAAAATTGCTCTGCATTCAGTGTATGGTGTACCTATTATAACTTACTTTCTATAAAGATCTAAAATATCGATGATTTCGGAAATATCGATAGTTCAAAAACACGGAAATTTCAATGGAAATTTCGGAAAATTATCAATATTGATAAAAATAAAATAAAAACCACGAAACTTGTAAATAAAAAAAAAACTTGGAAATTTTTCTTGAAACTTTGGAGGATATTTATTTTGTTAATTATCTATTACTTCATCACAAAAAAAATTGAAGGAAATGCATTGCATGATAGGTTTAAAGGATTAAGTTGATTATATAGCAGCTGGACAAAACACTGAGTGTAAAAAAATACGTAGTAGTTTAATGAAAGAAGATTAAACACACTATAATCATTTATTTATAATGATTTACAAAAATATTTTACACTTTATACATTGGCATGGTAAATACATGAGTGGACTTAGTATCACATAGAGTTCCTTTAAGGTCCAAATTTGAGTTAATTTACACTAACACCCCTGAGGTTTTCAGCTTTTTCAAAAAACCCCTTGAGGTTTTAGAAATTACAAGAACCCCCCATGATGTTTTAAAATGTTTCTCCAAAACCCCTTTTCATTGATTTTTTATACAAAAAAATCTCCACCATAAACAATATTTGGCCTTTTAGATTAGATTGCATATCTCTTCATTGAGGTTAATTTTTTTCTTGCATACGTTTTTTATTTCAAATCATTCAAATTTTTTTTGGACAAACAATCAACATAGGGTTTTGTGAAAACAAACTGAAACCTCAAAGGGGTGTTAGTGTAATTTTTGAGACCTGAGGGGGTTTTGTGAAAATGCAAGGAAACCTAAGGGGGGGTGTTCTATAAATAACTCTTCAAAATTTTCACAATCTTTGTCATTTCAATTATCGATATTATCGATATTACAGTGATATTAGCGATAATTTGGCCAATTGGTTGTGAAGTGTGACAGAAATTACGCTGGATATTTTTCGATATTATCGTCGATATTATCGATACCTATGTGTATGGATATGTTCCAAAATATCCTAGACTCGAAAAAATGATAATATCCTTGATTTATCATATTTTAGTCCTTACTTCTATTTAGTCAATTTTCTTTTCTTGTACTTTCCTTAATTTGAAAATATTCTAGTGAATTTTCTTTTCTTGTACTCTCTTAAGAGCCTTGCTCCTTGGGCTCATTAAGAGACTGATTTTGTCTACCATCTCATCATATTATATTTTCCTTAACAGAACTTGCTAACACACCAATAATAAACAGGTTGGTTTTGTACCAAACACGAAAATGAAAAATTCACGAAAATTTAGATGATCTCGTGAATATGGCTCTAATTGTATTGAAGGTTGAATAATTAGCTAAAAGACTTGAAACCTTTTGGGCAAGGTTGAATGGTTAGCTAAAAGACAAAGGCAAACACCAATTTTGTGCTTACGCTTAAGATTTCTCAAAGAATGTGGCCGTATTAGCACCGCCATATTGCTAAAATTTATTATGTACCCTACTCGCTCTCAGAAAAACTCCATAGAGGAGGAGGAAGAAGAAGTGTCATTGTTCCTCCTCCCCCTCATTTCTCTTTGCATTTTTCTTTTTGGGTTAGTAAATATGTCAACTGGGGTGTTTTGAATAAGAAGCCTTTTGTGGTGATTTCTTCTGAGCCATATTCATATTGAAATTTCCCATCACCTATTTTGGGCTATGTTCTCAATCAAGTCCTCTCAAAACCTGCTCTTTAACATTGCTCATATTATATAAATTTGGTTCTACATTGTATTTGACGGAGTTTGCTGCAAATCATCCAATTGTTCTTTGTCAAGTTCTTGTTTTGGTATATTTATACATTCTATGCATAAGTAAATCACTGGAAACCATGCTTTCTTCAGATCTGCTACGGATTTTGTTCTCGCTTTAAGATTTTATGCAATGGTGGGTCTGGCTGCAACGACGGTTCTTGATGTGGTGGTGGTAGGTTCATTTAGTCTCCTAGGTTGCTTTAAGGTTTCGTTTTGGGTTTGTGGGCTTTATTTGGGATTATGCTTAATTGTGGTGATGTAGGCTAATAGTTTTAGTGCGGTTTTTGTCCCCTTTTAGTTTTGTTTTTAGCATGTTAGTTTGTTGTCCTCTTCGGATTGGTGCTTTAGATTCATGGTGATGTCGTTGATTATATAGTTGAAGTTTATCGATGAAGTTTCTCTTTAAAAAAAAAAAAAAAAAAAAAAAAAAAAAAAAAAATAAAAAATAACAAATGTATATATAAAATTGCATTCAAAGGAAACATTTTGTCAAAAATAAAAAACAAAGTAGATACTGTGGATTTCGTGCGGAGATCTTGTCATGCTTATATGGCCAAACCTAGGCATATATGGTGGCTTGCCCAAGCATAGGCAACATAGCTAGGATTTTATATTTGGGGGGCAAAAATCTCAAACTCAAGTTTTAGTTATAATTGTTTTTTGGGCTATTGAGCAAACTATTAAAGAACTAATGAATACGTCAATTGGGGCATAAGCCTATGGCCCCCACACTTATCAAAGTTGTATTCCAATATGAATCTACATTTATGGACAAGAAAAAAAAATCACTCATTTCAATTTAGTACTCTTGTAGATAGGGACCTTCTTCAATAAATATTTTATGTTAAGAATTACTTATATACTTCTAATCTTTGCCGTTGAATTACATTCATTAAATATGTTGGTAATATATTATATGTAATCCAATAATCGAGATTAGAAGTATGTAACCAATCCTTAACTTAAATACTTATTGAAGAATGTTTCTATCTATAAGAGTACTAAATTGAAATGAGTTGTTTCCTTTCATAAATGTAGTATGATTTTACTACTATATTCATATTGGAATACAACTTTAATAAGTGTGGGGGTCATAGGCTTACATATATCAATTTTTCTTTTTAGTTGTTACCACACCCAATATATACATTGAAAGGGGTTAAATAAATTGGGGGGAAGAGCATCTCCAAGGTAGTCTCTAAATTTTAGCTGAAATGGCTAGAAAGCTATTATAGCAAACTACTTAAAATGATCTCTATTTTGGCTAATCTATAATATTTTATTATTTCTCTCCCCTCCTCTCTAAATTAAAAGTTCATTAAAAAATCAAAAAGTAAAAGGTGAGAGAGGGTTGTAGGCCTAGGGAGAGAGAAGAGGAAGAAATGGAAAACCCTCAATTTCTCTCTCCTCCTCTCTAAATGTAGATAACGTACGAGTCTGCTGGAGTTGCATTTTGCCCTCATTACAGCCAAAATGGCTCTGCTTGAGATTCTCTAAGGCCTTAGCATTGCTATAGCCAAATCTGGCCGGATCTAGTCATATCTAGCTAGAGTGGATGGTCAGATCTGTGTAGAAATAGAAGAAGATGGGTATAGAACAAATATTTGGAAATGCCTATCAAGCCAAAAATAAAATAAAATAGAAACAAGAGGGTAAATGGTGATGTCTGCAATACAAAATATATGTGGTCATGGTGTAGATTCTTGAAAACCTGAATTCTAATCGAATTAGAGATTCACCAGAAAACTAAAGGTGGTCAACGTGCACTATAATTTTCTGATGCATCACTAATCGACTAGAATTCATCTTCAGTTCTAGCTGCATCACTAATCAACATCAATCTTTTCAGTAGATTCAAACTTAAATCATATCGATGATTTACTAGAAAACTAAGATGAGAAACTAATAACTCTAACTAGTTTTTTGGTACATCATCGACCGACTAGAGCCCACGTCTAGCTTTACCAATTTGATGAAAAGCAATATCCTTCACGCAAACTCTGCTCTATATGCACTAGTATATATAGGGTGTGTTTGTGGCTCATTAGTGAATATTGGCCAATATATAAAATAGAAACGTTAATGTTAAGCTTCTACTTCAGCTAATGTCATTAATGCTATGTATATTTGGAAGAG